TTAATGGTTAAATTTGACCAAATAAAGCTTTAATTGATGATAGAGAAGGTAATGGCTTTTCATTTGTATCTTTGGGTTGGTTTTTTTAGGGGCGGGATTCATGGTGTTAGATTTTTCCCGTTGGAGGTGGTGGTTTTGGGGTGGGTTCGTCTGGTTTGTGGGTTTGGTTTCGTGGGGTGGCGTGGGTCTGGGTTCGTGGTGGTGGTGGTGACTGGGTTTGTGGTGGTGGTGGTGGCTGGGTGGTGGTTTACAGTGGGCTCGATGGTGGTGGTTTACGGTGGGTTCGGTGGTGGTGGTGATTCTAGGTTTTAGTGGTTTGATAAATTTTTGTTTTTTTTTTAATTGGATTAGTGCTTAAGTACATGACCTTGTATTTCAATAATCATGCTTAGGAACTTTTACCTTGGCCTCCGCAATCGGTACGGTTGTTGCAGATAATAAAAAACGGAGGTAATATATATTTAATAAGATACTAAAATAAGATTGATGTAATTTATTTTCCACATTTTAACATCAATGTGGACGTGCCGGAGTGGTTATCGGGCATGACTAGAAATCATGTGGGCTTTGCCCGCGCAGGTTCGAATCCTGCCGTCCACGGTTTTTTTTTTTTTTTTTTTTTTAATTTTTTTATTTTGCGTCAATCTATGTACAACATACCTTTTTTAAGTTCTGAATACAAACAGACATGAATGAAGCTCACTGCATTACCTTCTTTCAATCAATATTTGCTCCGTCCGTAGTATAATTTGTAGCATTCCTCATAAATTCATAACCCAATTTCGATATAAAATAATTGCTATACTTGATTTGAGCCAAAAGGCTGCGACATGTACCACCCAAGGCACCAACTGCCAGCTTCTCCTACTGTGCACAAAAAATGTTAGTCTTTGGCAAATATCTGCTAATCATCAGCATTCAAATTCTGAATTCTGAAACACAGCAATAAAGCTGAAGGGATTTGAACAATTATGTAACAATCTTCAGTAGAGAGCATGTTAAGTTTTTAACTATATATGAAAGAATCACAATGTTAACCAACAATAACAAAACCAATAATTCTAATTACTCGTATGCAAAAAATCCAATTCATCCCTCAACGAATTCCAACAGCTCTTTGGTATCAAGCTATATCTCTAGCATATATTGCTATATTCCTGAAAACTGTTGAGGCAAAGACACATTATTAAGTATCCCACATCGGTCAATAAAACAAGATCCAAGCCAGGAATGCGTTATATATCAGTAAGTGAAAACTGTATACAATTCACGCAGCCATGCAGTGAGCACAGAGCGAACTATTCTTTCGCCTTTTACTAAAGAATTCCATGTGCTCGTTGCATTTAGTGGCATACGTTTATATTTGGAGGGAGTTCTTTAATTCGAGCTTCCAACAAGTCTAGTCGAACAATTTTAGTTTATAACTCCTTCGTTAATGCTCATTGTTTACAAAATTATTTACCTGCTTCAAGCATAAAATAATTAGTAGATATGTCTTGCTTTGTTAATTAAAGTTAGATTTTGTAAATGTATTTAAAAAACAGACTGAAAATATCATAACAAAGGTGTCCATTGTTATTGACTGGCAAAAATAACTTAACATGTCAAACCTTATTGGGCTGCCTGCCTATCATGGCTATACAAGCTGAAATTGGCCTAGGTAAAATGCCGTAATGGTAGGCAGACAACTCCTATAGTCCCATACCATATTATCACCTTGTGCTTAATTTAGCCTTTTTCGGCTTTTCCTGAGCTTCGAATGAACTTTGTGAATTTCATCTTTGTTTGCTGGGTACTTGTCTGGTAATACCCTTTTTTTTTTAGTAACAGTTGCAGAGTTCCTGCCATCAATTTCAAGACAAGAAAATTCAGAATTTATGTGTACTCAAACTAGTACCTCTCTATTCATAGCCTGATCTATTATGAATTTATGATTCTTATACCTGTCCTGTGTCTTGTAATACTAAAACCCAATATGCAATATAAACATATATTGATGAATATCTTAAAGAATCGCTAAATTACTGTATAGTGGTGACAAGTTGAATTGTCCCACATTATTAAATAACATAAAGGATTGACTTGGCTTTTTCAGCCCAGCAGAGAAACAAAAGTTTGAAAAGAAGATAATCTTGATTACTATGTTTTGTTTGCATGTCATGCTTGCATAATGGGAAACAATTATCAATTTATTCCTCAAAGTTCAAGCTTAACTGCAAAAGTTGTAGGGGAATCCAACTTAGGACATTAAGCATCTCATGATTCTGCAAAACAACTTAGTTTAAAAGTTTCAGATATTAAACTAATAAAACAGAAAACAGATACTATACTTGATCTTATAGACAAAATAACTAGAAGACCAAAAGGTATGCTTCCCAAAATTTACATACCTCTATCTATTTTTCTGGCCATTCCAGCAAAATCCAGCCTTAATTGTTGCTTCTCTATGTGAGAGTCAAGTTTTGAAATGTGAGATGATCATTTCAAACAGAAATACTTTCAACAGAAGTTCCAAAGCCTGGAAGTAACATAAGCAGCAAGTTACAGCTGAGGAAAGCAGTAGCAACTTTTAGGGAGACAACATTCAAACGCATAAATCACTAAGACCCTAAAACTAGAAATTTAAAATAAACATAAGCTAGCGCCTTTCAATACAGAAGCTTCAACCAAGTAAGGATACGTTCTTTACTTTCTTGAAGTAAAATGATAAAAGCAAAGGTATACTGAAACTAAGCACCAGCCAAATAAAAGATCTATAGTCAAGCACTTGCTCGTGATCTACTTAAGTAGACAAGCATTACTTTGAGCAAAATACTCAAAACCACTATATTCTATAATTACAAAGCTAAGGGTTACTGTTATAGCAGATGTGATAAAGAGATAGGAGTGACAATGGCAAACAATTTTTACGTGATCCACTGCAATATGCTACATCCACAGGCAGAGATGAGAACAATATCAACCCCTGAAGTCATTCAGCTCATCGCGACTACAAACAGATTAGCCCTTACGAGTCCTTAAGCATAAGGCTACAACCTACAAGGCATAAACCAAAGAACTTCCTTCTCTTTAAAAAAGCTTGGACATTATGTATTAGCCCCAGCCAGTGGTAAGAAATGATGCCTTTACTTCAGCAGTAGCATAAGCACCAGTTAACAAATGTCAAAGAATTGAAGACTTAATAATCTGTACGTCAGTCCTTAGATATGCAAGTCTGCAACCCAAAGTGTAATATGTAATCACAACCTTTTCTCCCTTACATGCACCAATACTTCTATTCTCAGAAAGGTCAACAATATGGAAGGCAAGAGCTGGGCTCAATGAATAACAATGAGGTTATAAATAAAATGATCCGTGCTCTCTTAAAAAACCCAAGTACAAAATCTACATTTAGATTAGATGCAAAGAGCTAGCTCAAATCTGTTAACTAATTGCACAAACTCTATAAATGCCTTCAAATATGATAACGATGACTTTCATTTCAAGGGATAAACAAAATATCATCCAAAGTAGGTTCTTTCTAGGTTAACAAAACACATAATCTCAAAACCCTAACAAAGCAAAAAAGGTTTTAATGTACCATGTTTTTGAGGTTCCCTGTATTATGACCCAAGTGTGATGGATGCAAGGGCTCAAAACCACACAATACTGCTTAAAAGTAATACGCCACACAAGTGGGGTACTCACAAAAATTGGAATTCCTACACAATTGGTTGCGCACAGAACCACGGACAATCCTTACAATGACCCTATAAACTCCTACTTATAACTTTATAAGTTATAAAACTACATACTACCTCCGTTTCATATTTTTTGCAACTTTGGAATATTTTATATGTCACTAATAATACCCCAGAGTTGCAAAAAAATATGAAACGAAGATAGTACTACGTTACTACCTAAATCCTAGATCATTTAGGATTATCATTTAGGATTAGAAAGCTAAATGACCTTCCACTAGTTGCTAGATATTCCACAATAAGTAGATAATTTGTCTAACTTATTTTATACATGGTTGCTAAATGGAATCCCTACTAACTGAGCACACACCTCCAAAAGAAGAAAAAGGCCCCTTTTCCTCTTTCTCCTTTCCTTTTTCTTCAGTTTTCCCACTTCCAATGAATTCAAAAAATCAAACGGATATTCATTCAACACTATTAAAGCCAAAACTACACTAATTTCCTTTATCCATTCAACGCTATTAGTGTTAAATTACAAAGAAAATACACCCTCCTTAGTTCACTCAACACCAGTTGCCTTTCACTTTACTTGCATAAATAGATGTTCCACTGCTCCAGTGATTCACGACGATTCAAAATAAGAAAATTCATGAAAATCACTAACTTTGGCAAATTAGAGTCCATGCATTAGCAGTGACAACAAAAACAAAAATGTGACTAATAATCTTTTGATTACATGTTGACCTTATTTTTGTTAAAAAAAAGATTAATCTAGAAAAACCTAGAATATTTTGTAAAATAAATATCTAAAAGTAGTCTAGAAAAATCTAGGAAGTATTATGTAAAAATATCTATGTAAAAATATCTAAAGTGTGTAGAAGTTACCTAAGAAAAAATCTAGGAGAAAATATCTTAGAAAAATCTAGATTAACCAAAGCTAAAAATATCTAGAGAGTTGTAAGACATCTATAAATACCATGACATGTAACATGTTGAGATGAATAATAAAAACACAACAATCTCATTCATATAATACAAGTCTCCATTTCACAAAATCTTCAACATCAATATTTCCTCCAAAATTATTCAAACCCACTACACTTCCGCACTATCAATTCCAACATTTGGTATCAAGAGCAAAGTTAATCCAAAGCCTCCAACTTTCATCCAACATCCAAACTCCATATCAATACAAACCCCACATTAATTCAAATGGCCTCTCCTACTCCAAATTCAAACACAAACACAAACCTTTTTAATCCCCAAGTTAATTGGGTACCTTCATTTAAGGGGGAGAAATTTGATCAATGGAGTATGCAAATGAAATCCATCTTTATAACCCAAGATGTATGGGAAATTATTGAAGATGGATATGAGAAACCCAAAGATGCTGATGAAGAGGCTTCTTGGGATGATACTAAAAAATCCCAATACAAACAAAACAAAAGAAGGGATCATTATGCCCTTTCCATAATTTATCGTAGCGTAGATGAAACAATACTACCTACGATCATGGCCGCTACAACGGCAAAAGAAGCATGGAGTATCTTGGAGACAAAATATAGAGGCTCGGAAAAGGTAATACTCTTTAAACTTCAATCTTTATGGGGTCAATTTGATAGTTTACAAATGTTAGAAAATGAAACAATTCAATCATATGTTGACCGAGTCTCAAACATTGTTAATCAAATTCGATCTCATGGAGACACAATTGATGATGTGAAAATAATTCGAAAAATATTAAGAACTCTTATTAAAAAATTTGATCACATAGTGGCTGCTATAGAAGAATCTAATAAAGATTTAAAATCACTCACCATAACTGAGCTAATGGGCTCTCTAATAGCTCATGAAGAAAGAATGCGTAGATTTGATGAGCAGCCATTAGAACAAGCTTTTCAAGCTAAATTAAAGTTTTCTAATAATGGAGGAAATAAAAATGGTCACGGAAAGGATTTTCAACCAAAAAGAGGATTTTTTAACAACCGTGGTAGAGGGAGAGGAAAATATAAAAATCAAGGGAGCCGAGATAATAATTCTTATTGCACATTGTGCAAGAAAGATGGCCATAATACAAGAGATTGTCGGTACAAATGCAAAAGATGTACACGACACTCTCATTTTGAAAAAGATTGTTATTTTCGTCAAAAAGAAGAGTCGAATTTCACAGAAAATAATGATAAAATATTTTATACATGTTTAAATGCTCAAGAAGAGAAAAATGATCTATGGTACATAGATAGTGGATGTTCTAACCACATGACCGGCAATAAAAATTCATTTGTCAATCTTGATGAAAATATAAAATCACAAATAACACTTGGTGATGGGAGTAAGCAAGAAGTTGTCGGAAAAGGGACAATTGTTGTTAAAACAAAAAAATGGCTCCTCTAAATTCATCCCCGATGTCTTTTATGTCCCTGGACTTGCACAAAATCTATTAAGCGTGGGCCAATTAGTCCAAAAGGGCTATATGGTAAAATTTGACAATAATCAATGCCACATATATGATAAGAAAAAAGGGCAATTAATCACTACTACCAAAATGGCTCCTAATAAAATATTTCCACTCAAAATGAAACTGGAATCTAATACTGCCCTAATTTCAATAATGGATGAATCCACCTTGTGGCATTTGAGATTCGGGCATTTAAATTTTGACAGTTTAAAACTGTTAAAAAATAGAGAAATGGTGATTGGACTACCACCAATCACTAATGAAAAGAAAATTTGTGAGGGTTGTATCTATGGCAAAATGCATAGATTACCTTTTCCAACCTCATCTTGGAGGGCCAGAGCTCCATTAGAACTTGTCCATGCAAATATTTGGGGCCCTACCAAGAATCCATCTCTTGGTGGAAAAAGATACTTTCTGTTGATTGTAGATGACTTTTCACGCATGATGTGGGTATATTTCTTGGAGAAAAAATCAGAAGCATTATCCCACTTTATGCAATTTAAAGCCCTCACAGAAAAACAAAGTGGGCATTCAATAAAGGTTCTACGAACCGATCGTGGGGGAGAATTTACAAGTAATGAATTCAACAAATTTTGTAAAGCACAAGGAAGTAAAAAGGAGCTCACAACCAGACACACACCACAACAAAATGGTGTTGCGGAAAGGAGAAACAGAACAATTGCTGAAATGGCCCGAAGTATGATGCAAGGAAAAAATCTACCTAAATATTTTTGGGCCGAAGCAGTCTACACATCTGTCTACATCCTCAACAGATCTCCCACAAAAGCAATACGAAGCATGACACCATATGAAGCTTGGCACAAACGAAAGCCAAGAGTTGAGCACCTCAAAGTTTTCGGGTGCATCGCATATGCCCACATCCCGAAGGAGAATCGGGATAAGCTAGATGGAAAGGGAGAAAAATGTATCTTTATTGGATACAGTGACGAGTCTAAAGGATATCGTCTTTATCAGCCCGAATCCAAGAAGTTGATCATCTCAAGAGATGTCATCTTCGATGAAGGAGCACAATGGCAATGGAACGAGAATAATTCTGAAGTCCCAGTAGCAAGCATTCCAACAACAAGTCCAGATCAAGGTGAAGGCCCAAGTCAGTCACCAACACAATCATCTGCAAGTCCATCACCATCAAGCAATCCAAGATCACCACCAAGCTCAAGTCCAACATCAGAATCAAGTCCAACACCAGAAGTACGACGATCACATCGAGAAAGGCGTCCCCCAGGCTACTTAGAAGACTATCAATGCAATTATGCAATCATGGCACTCTTTGCAGGCGAACCACAAAACTTTCAAGAAGCTGCCAGAGAAGAAAAATGGATCAACGCCATGAACGAGGAAATCAACATGATAGAGAAGAATAACACATGGAAGCTCGTGGAGAAGCCACAAGACAAGGAAGTTATAGGCCTCAAGTGGGTCTATAAGATCAAGTTCAATGAAGATGGCTCCATCCAAAAACACAAGGCACGTCTCGTAGCAAAAGGCTACTCACAACAGCCTGGCATCGACTTCAACGAGACATATGCACCAGTTGTTCGCATGGAGACAATCAGGTCAGTTCTCGCCCTTGCTGCACAATTCAAGTTACCAGTCTATCAATTAGATGTCAAGTCAGCATTTCTCAACGGGGAGCTAGAAGAAGAGGTATATGTTGAACAACCACAAGGATATATAATCGAAGGCAAAGAAGATAAGGTATATCGCCTTCAAAAGGCCCTCTATGGGCTCAAGCAGGCTCCTCGAGCATGGAATAGTAAAATTGATGGTTATCTTCTCCAAAATGGGTATACAAAAAGCCCAAGTGAGCCATCACTCTATATCAAGACTCAAGGGTCAGATTTTCTGATCTTATGCCTATATGTAGATGATCTTATCTACACAGGCACCAGTCCGAGGATGATAGAAGAGTTCAAGAAATCAATGATGTCAGAATATGAAATGACAGACCTCGGAGAAATGAAGTACTTCCTAGGCATGCAAGTGAAGCAAAGCCCAGGAAGGATTTTTCTCTCACAAGAGAAATATGCAGAAAATATGCTTAAGAAATTCAACATGAGAGATTGTAAGCCAATGGCTACACCAATGGCTACAAATGAGAAGCTCTCCAAGAATGATGGCAAGGAAAAAGTGGATGCATCATTCTACCGAAGTTTGGTCGGATATCTCATTTATCTTACAAACACAAGACCTGACATTGTTCATGCAGTCAGCATCATATCAAGTTTTATGAGTGAGCCAAGCAAAGCTCACTTAGCAGCAGCAAAAAGGATTCTCCGGTATATCAAAGGAACGAAAAGCCGTGGAATCATGTACAAGTCTGAAATCGACTACAAACTCATAGGCTACACAGACAGCGATTGGGCTGGAAGCATCGATGATCGAAGAAGCACAAGTGGGTACGTGTTCCAGTTAGGATCCAAGTCTGTTTCATGGTCATCAAGGAAACAAGCAACAGTAGCACTATCATCAGCAGAAGCAGAATACATATCAGCAACAAGTGCGGCATGTGAAGCAGTTTGGCTAAGGAGGATTCTAAAAGATCTACAACAAGACACAGAAGGTCCAACCACCATCTACTGTGACAATATGTCAGCCATAGCAATGACAAAGAATCCAGTCTTCCATAGTCGTACGAAGCATATCGAGATACGACACCACTTCATCAGAGAGTTGGTCGAAAAACAAGAGATCGGGCTACAATTCTGCAAGACAGGAGAGCAACTCGCAGATATCTTTACCAAGGCACTTCCAACAGATAAATTCCTCCATTTTCGAAGAGAACTCGGTGTTCAAGTTTTTCAAGATTAAGGGGGAGTGTTAAAAAAAAGATTAATCTAGAAAAACCTAGAATATTTTGTAAAATAAATATCTAAAAGTAGTCTAGAAAAATCTAGGAAGTATTACGTAAAAATATCTATGTAAAAATATCTAAAGTGTGTAGAAGCTACCTAAGAAAAAATCTAGGAGAAAATATCTTAGAAAAATCTAGATTAACCAAAGCTAGAAACATCTAGAGAGTTGTAAGACATCTATAAATACCATGACATGTAACATGTTGAGATGAATAATAAAAACACAACAATCTCATTCATATAATACAAGTCTCCATTTCACAAAATCTTCAACATCAATATTTCCTCCAAAATTATTCAAACCCACTACACTTCCGCACTATCAATTCCAACAATTTTACACCTGATATCTAGCACAATCCCAATTTCAGCGATATTATAGGATATTTAGTTATTGTCCCGCATCATTGGAATACCAAAATTAAGAAGGACAACATAGATATATAAATAAACCATGGAGTATTGAGAAACATACTTACCTGGACAGGGTGAATGGGCGATCAAAAAGCCCCACAGCCTAGGAAGGTAGCCTCCATTGCACTTTGTGAGGGATGCTTACCTAACATCTTCCCAAAGAGGAAGAGTGTACGTCATAATTTGTGAGAGTGGGGGTCTGCGTTCGCGCAACCCCTAATCAATTCCATTCCTAAAATTTGTATTCAGTGCCACACCATAAACCGATTAAATTATGGAGGAACACAAGAAACAACCTGAGCTGATGCTGTTAGGTTTTATAGCAAATTCAATCAAGAAAACGCTTAAAAATTGTGTGGGACAAAACCTAAGTTATATAATTACAAAACAATAATGTATTGCAATAATTCAAACACAACACAATGTGTTACAATCAAGTATTAATAAGTCTAAGAAATTACAGAAAATTTCTAGAGACAACACTAATGTGAAGTTTAATTACACTTGCCTTAACTCGAAGCCGATCAAAGCACACATGAACATGAGAATAGCAATGCCCCTTGAGACTATGACCTTGATACACTTTCAAAGGCGTATGAATACTTTCCTAAAGGGATTAATTTCCCCCACACGGTGCTTGGGTTATTCCGGAAATTCCCTTTGAGATACAATTGACAGCCCTTTTCGTTCTTAGCACAAAGAATCGAAACAAAGATGAATAATTCACAAAAATTGGAATGATTGCAAGAGTTTTCTCACAAAAGTTTGCAAGAAGTTTGTGAGGAATTGAGAAAAATACATGGGAGAGAAGAAGAATATATTATATCGTCCTTTCTCTTCTGGAAATTAAGCCTTTTAACAAAGACTCAACCTTCAGAAAAACCGCAAAAACAGGGAGGCGCGGGCGCGCCTCAATGTGGAGCGGGCGCTCTTTACTAGGAGCGGGCGCACCTCTTCTGAACTTGCGAAATTCACAAAGGAAGGCAGAGTGGCACGCGGGGCGCGCCATCCATGATGCGCGGGCGCGCCACCAGACGCGCGACCGCACTAACTTCACACTTCCAAATAGACAAATTCCAGTAAAGTCCGCGGTTTTAGCGCGCTCACTGCGCGGCCGCGCCTTCCAAGCACGGTCGCTCCTTTTGGTGCGCAAGCGTATCACCATTAACACTCTAAATAATCCAACAGATGTCAATATTAAGCAACATGAAAACAATAAATAACAAGAATACAATTTTGAATTATATATATAGTGAATGGAAGTCATGAAATCAATACATTTACTGTTCTATCTCTTCACTTTCACTTATCAGGGTTCATCAAGTTATAGCAATATTGTAAACGATACATTTCTCACATGTACTGTAGTCGGAGGTTAACTACTATTTCTTTTCTTTTTGAAATAAAAGGCTCTAGGTTCTGGTTTCAGTTATTTCAACACAAACATCGGACAACTCAGCCATTCAAGGATGGTTGAAGTCTATCATAACTAATGCCGTAAAATTATTCATATATTCAGCGGAAAATTTTCAAATGTACAATTAAGAAATTCAGACACATATGAACATGCAACAAATGACATTGTCACAGTAGAATCATCTGCCTTGAGATAGCAAGCAAAGGCATCTCTTGTTTTGTGGGATTCT